CAGAAAGGGAGACAGAACTTGAGAGACTCCTAACTCTGGGAAATGATCTAGGGTGGTGGATGTGGAGGAGGGCGGGGGGTGGGGGTGACTGGGTGACGGGCACTGAGGAGGGCACTTGATGGGATGAGCACTAAGTGTTATATGTTGGCAAATTGAACTCCAATAAAAAATAAATTTATAAAAAAATGTATAAAATTTACTAAAAAATTTATAGAAAAAAAAAAGCAAATGTGGGACAAGGGCATGGGCCACACACCCTCCTTCTGGCTTCCCTGAGGACACTGCACTTGTAAAATAAAGGGAGCCTGAAAGAGGAGAGAGGCATTCACATCCACAGCCCCCCCCCCCCACGTGCTAGGAGCAGCATCTCATCTAAATGTCACCCAAAGTCCACACGTGGTGACAAGGATCAGCCCCGTTTTAAAGAAAAGACAACCAACATAGTCCCCTGGCGGGTAAAAGATGTGCCCCCCGCTGGGAACTGGCAAGCCAAGGCTGTCAAAGCGTGAGAACACGCCTGCCTCCCGCCCAAAGGCCTCCTCTTGTCGTGGGCCTGTCCCCACGGCCTACAGCTTTCCTGCCGTCCACTCGCCACTCACCCAGCCTCGTGCCGTGACCCTTCCACTCCAGTGCTTTGCCCACGATCTCAATTCCTGGGCGTTTGGGTCTGAACCTGGATTTGGTCCCTCAGGCCTTGACAGCAAATGCCCGCATCTCCCCTGCTCCACGAGGGAGTGGACAGGCCCACTCTTCCAGGGAGCTTTCCTTGATTAAAACCCCTTGGCTGCTCCATTGATTTCTTCTCCTTAACTCAGTTGCTGCCAGTTTCAAGTGCTAATCCGCGCGCACGCGCGTGTGTGTGTGTGTGTGTGTGTGTGTGTTTGCTAGTCCCTCAACTGCTCTGTGAGCCCTTTGAAAGCAAAACTAAGTCTTCTGTGTCTTCAGGTGCCCACCTAGCACCCCCACTTTCCCCACTCCCCCACGTAGTCCCCTGCACCTGAAGAGCACCCCCATCGGTGCTGGATGCCAGAGTGCACCTCCAAACCCAGGGAGCCACGCGCACACCCCAGAACTGATCACTGGGATGAAGCTGCCACAGGCAGGCTGTCACCAAGGGCAGGGGCAGGCGTGGTGATGTTTTGAGTTGCGTGTGCGGGATGGGACTGAGAAAGAAGTTGAAGAGAGACGTGCAATGACAAGCCACCCAGCCCTGCGGGACTCCACCAGGGACGTGGGAGAAGGAAACTTCAGGGGAGTGGGGAAAGCTGAAGCCTGGGGGGCATAAGGAGAGTCACAGACAATGGGGAGGCGGGGTGAGATGTGGAAAGCCGGCAGCCAGCAGAGGAGGGGCCGAGGCTTTTTATGCAGGAGGGAGAAGCGCCCAAGTGGGCAGCCTGCCCGGGCAGGACAGCAGGGAAGGAGGCCCCGGTGGCTGCCTAGCGGTGCTGGAGCAGGAGAGAGGCCAGGAAGCAGGAAGCCAGGGAGGGGGGTGGGTTGTCTGAGCCATGGAGTCATCCAGACGCCCGCTCTAGACTGCAAGTTTCTGGCTGGGGGACTCTGGGTAGGTGCCTTACTCTCTCTGAGCCGGAGTTTCCTCAGAGGGACTGCATCACCCTACAGGGAAACTGAAGTGTAGCAGATGCTAGATAGAGGGAGTGGGAAGGGTTCTCTCCCGCCATTGCATTTGGAAGGACCCAGAAGATGATACAGCAATCAGGGAAAGCTTGGGAACAAGCCCCTATTTCACTGGAAACTGAAAAGACCTTGGAGGGCAGCTTACGTTCTCATGATGAGGGCAAAAGCCTAGGGTGGAAGGTGGAGGGGGACATGAATCTAGAACAGGGAAGCTCACCCCCCCCCACACACACAGGAGGGGATGCTGAGTGCACCTGCAGCCAGGGGGACTGGGCTAGCTGGGAATCACTGCCACTGGGGAACACCTGCTGGGCAGGTGGGGACAGATCCCCATGGATGAGCACGCTGGGACAGGTGTGGGAGCCGGAACGCGACCTCGGAGCCCCCGAAGCCCTGCAGGCCGGGCCCTGGGACATTCAGACCCAGTCCTCCATGCTCAAGGACCTCCCGGCATCCCAAGTTCCCAGCTCAGCCCTCAACAGAGTGTTGACCAACCAGAAGACGCAGGCTCCTGGACTGACCAGAAAGCCGATAAAACCAGGGCGCGGGTCCAACCAAAGGATGGGAGTTTCACCGGCTTGAAGAGGGACTATGGGAGCTCATGGCTCACGCTTGCAAGATGCGTCCTGGGCCGGAGGTCCAGTAACCGAGGGTGAAGCAACTTCCTTGACAGGCTTCTTGATATCGAGGACTTTCCCAGCCCAGAGACACACCTTGTCCCAGGTCAGACAGAGTTAGAATTTTATCGAGCCAATGGTTGCTCCTCGTGTCACCATGTTCCTAGATGAAAATCTATGTAGATGAGGAGCTGGTGGAAATGAATTTAGATTCCCAGAGTGCCCTGCCCTGCCCCAGCGTCCCAGAGGGAGGAGCAGCTGGCAGACTCCCTGGGAGTTGCCTCCTGTCCTCCTCCCTGCTCCCTCCTCCCCGCCCCCCTGTGGCTCTGCCCCTGGAAGGCCCACAGGTGTCCCCCCAGGCCTTTCCCAGGGCCCGTGGGAATCACGAGATATTGCAGGTGGATGCGTTTCGTACCTGCTTGGAGGCCTATGGAATTGCTCCTGGTTGTCACTGGGGTGTGCTGAAGTGGGGGGCATCTCACTGTCTCTAACAGGAGTATTGGTTACATCAGGAAGCCTCCTCCGGGACCTTGTGGCGCCAGTCCCCTTGCTCAGGCCCTGGAGTCCCAGACCCTCCTTGGCTGACTAACTCCTCTCCCCTTGCCCTACCTTTGTCACATCCCTGCCCTGTGGAATCTCGGTTCCAATATTCTAGGATTCAGGCACGTGGTTCCCTGCATCTGTCCCCCCGCCCCCCGGTCCTCCATGATTGAGAAGGTCAAGGCTTCTGAAGAGAAAGCCTTTGGGGCTTTGGGGCTTTGGGGGGACAATCCCAATTCCTGCCCAGAAGAAGAAGGATGGGCAAGATGACCTCTAGTCCACCTTGCCCTATGTCTGTATCCAGAGCCAACCTGGATCCCCGAAGAACATCATAAGCAAATGCATGAACCCAGGGATAATCAAACCCACGCCCTGGACTGGGTCTGATGGTATAAGGAAACTTGGGTTCGTTTTATGATCCTTGGCCCCTGTGCCCTTGGCCTCTCCATGACTTGATCCTTCCCGTGGCATCTGACCTTAATTTTCCTAAATATAAAATAAAGAGTAAAACTCCTTGTTTCTCACGCTTCTTCACATGAAGTCTTAGGGCAGCAAAGAGATGAATGGCTGCCATGCACGTATTCCCACATATCCTTCCCCCCTCCCTCAACCTCCTGCCAGATAGTTAGCCAACCTCTGCTGGAAATGTGCCAACTCCTCACGCCTCTCCCGTCTCAGGATTAATAAAAAGTTGCTTCTTATACTGAGCCAAACCTGCTGCCGTTCCCACCTGCCCATCTGGGCCATTGGCTCAGATGGGTCAACCCCCCTTTGCCAGGGGAAGCTCTTCAAATCTTTGCAGTCCACAGTCACATCTCCCCCCCCCCACACCCCCGCAAAGACTTCCAGGACCTTCCCCTGTACGCCTGCGGCCAGGTTTTGGATTGCCCACGACCGCCGTCCCGGCCACTGTCCTCTGCCTGGACCTCTATTTAGTAATGTCCTTGGAGCGGTCAGATTACAGAAGAGCCGAAGTGGATTCAGCACACTGCTCTCCTCCTGGTCCCCCCGCCCGTCCCCAGGGGCCACCAACCGCTGTCGGCTCATGTGCTGTCACTGTCGACAGCTGAACTAAGTCATGTTTATACCCACTGCTGTTTTCTCACTTCCCGTCCCTGCCCTGTGCTTTCGTTTTTTTCCTTCAAGTGTGACATAGCGTCTGTCTACGGCCTCCCTCCCTCCTGTCCAGCAGCCCCTCTGCCCACCTCCCCTTTGCCAGCCTAGTCCCCCGCCAGTCTGCTGCCCAGGTGAGCGAGGAGACACTTCTCGGAGAGAAGGTAAGGGTTCGCGTGGGAACACGCTGTCTTATCAGTATGGGCTGCAGTCATATTTGAATGAATCCCATATCCAGCTGCCATCTGTACTCCTTCGGGGAAGGAGAAAGTAGGTCACATGTGTTATGTGACTCCTTTACGCAGACTCAGAAATATCACATAGACTAAGATGGTAGCGTCACTTGCTCCATTCTTGAGTTTCCACATCTATGCTTCCCCCCAGAGGCATGGATTCAAGATGCCCCGGCCCAGGACCCCCGCTGGGTGAATGGGCTCAGTCTCTGGTCTCCCCAGCTCATTTCTCCCGGGAGGCTGTCCCCTCGCACTCACACACATTCACTCTCTCTTATCTTTGAGTCTCTGGCAGACTAGTCCCCCGTCCACACCTACTTCCACTCTGTTCCCCAGTCCTGTTCCACTTCCCAGCCCTCTAGGAGGGCCAAGCTTTGGGGCCAACCTTCCCTTCCCTGATCTTGGCACCCACTGCAGATCCCACTGCTCCTGCAGTGGAGGGTCTGCTTGTGTCCACAGGACAGGCCTTGCTTTCATCCTCAGGCTAGAAGGTCCACAGGAGCACACACTCTGGTTTGTCCTCCCTCTAAACGTTCCCTTCCCCTATAATCTATCATTTGGGTTGTGAGCGCCTTACGATTCAGAAACATGTTCATTCAACACTGTATTCCCAGGGCCGAGGCCACCGCCTGGCACACAGCAGGAGCTAACTGAATGTCTGCTGAACAAATGTGCAAACTGACCTCGGAATGGTCACCACTTTCAACACTAGTAAGACCATGTCTGCAAGGTCCTTTAAGATCACGTGTCACTCATGCAATACAAATTAATAAAAATAATGAACTTTACTTCCCAGATGTGAATAATTTCAGAGACCTGCAGAAATTTAAGAGGAAATCACTTATCTGACCACACAGCAGTCTGAGATCACAGAAAATTTTATTGTAGAAATACCAGAAACGTCAAGCCTTTCAAGGTACAACCTTCAACCAGGAAATGATGAAGTCACAGCACCGTGGAGCCCATCCGATACCCCAAGAGAATCGTGGACCTGGCGGTTGCGTTAGGACTTACCAAGCAAGCGAAGGGGACTCTCGATCTTAGAAGCAACGCCACCTTCCCCCTCTCAAGGCCTGCTCCTTGGCAGACAGCTTCCCCTTCCTGTCCCCTCCAGCACATCTCCAGCGCCTTGTGTGAGGCCCGAAACAAAGGGTCAGACTTGCAGGAAGTGCTCAGTCACAGAGAACACGAGGCAGAGGGAGTCAGGAAAGGGCACTAAGCTTCCTTACAAGTAACAGGCAGCTTCCGGACCGGTCAGGATTGAGCCCTCCCGAGACCCACGCCTGATCCTCCAACACTTCAGGGCCCGACACCTGGACACGACAGTGCCGGGCTGCACGAGCTCAGCCACCTGGACAATTCTCAGGAGGGCCATTATGGAGCAGAGTCCAGGAAGGCCCAGGCTGCCAAAGAGTGGAGGAGGCACAGGAGACACCAGAACTCGATGGCTTGCCCGCTGACTCCTCTATTCACGGATAATTAGTCCTCCCGGTGGACAAGGCCGCTCACACTCTGAAATACTCTGCTAACCCAGAGGACAATGCTTCTTAAGACAGAGAATCAGAATCACGACCACGACTCAGAGGTGTCTGACGAGGACAGCAAATCCATAGGATCCACTGGCAGGAAAGTGTGAGGCTAACAGACCAACAGCAGGAACGGGTCCACGGCACAGGGGCTCCTCTCCCCAAGCTACTGGGCCCAAGGCCTCACTGTTGGTTCCCTACGGGATGGATTGTTGTCCACCGGGCAGCCCAGGTGCAAGAAAGGGAGCCTGGGGGTGAGAAATCTGGTGTCCTTAACATTTACTCCCCGCCATCTGCTTTCTAGATACTCTACAGGCTTTTCTCTCCATCGCTAAACTGGGCCCCGGGGTGTCCCCAGGGGCAGGAGCGGGCCCAGAGGAGTGGTCTGGCTGTGACTCCAGCGCCCTGGGAAGACAGAGCTGCTGGTGGGGGTTATGCACCTGCTTCCCCCTGCCCCCCGCCCCAGCTTGGACTGTGTGGGCAAAGCTGCGGAGACCCAGGAGGGAAAGGGGAGAGGGGCTCAGGGAGGGCGCGGGGCGGGGACAGGAGGGGGCGGGGGTCCCTCTACTCCAGGATTCGCCTGTGGGAGGTGTTGGTGGAGGTCTGGACGATCTGCACGCGGGAGGAGCCGCCGCCGTACTTGCTGCTGCCCCGGCCGCTCCCTCCGTAGCTGCCTCCGCCCGCGTAACCTCCTCCGCCGCCCCCGCGGGAGCCGCCGCCGCCGGCTGCGTAACCTCCGCTGCCCCCGCGGGAGCCGCCGCCGGAACCGCCTCCGGAGCCGCCCCCGTAGCCTCCGGAGCCTCGGGCCCCGCCGCCGCCGCCGCCGCCGCCGCCGCTGACGGTCGTCTGGCTGCTGTGCACAGCTGGGGGAGAGGGCGGGTGTCTGGCTGCTGTGCACAGCTGGGGGAGAGGGCGGGTATCTGGCTGCTGTGCACAGCTGGGGGAGAGGGCGGGTGTCTGGCTGCCGTGCACAGCTGCGGGGAGAGTGCAGGTGTCTGGCTGCTGTGCACAGCTGGGGGGAGAGGGCAGGTGTCTGGCTGCTGTGCACAGCTGGGGGGAGAGGGCGGGTGTCTGGCTGCCGTGCACAGCTGCGGGGAGAGTGCAGGTGTCTGGCTGCTGTGCACAGCTGGGGGGAGAGTGCAGGTGTCTGGCTGCTGTGCACAGCTGGGGGGAGAGGGCGGGTGTCTGGCTGCTGTGCACAGCTGGGGGAGAGGGCGGGTGTCTGGCTGCTGTGCACAGCTGGGGGGAGAGGGCGGGTGTCTGGCTGCCGTGCACAGCTGGGGGAGAAGGCGGGTGTCTGGCTGCTGTGCACAGCTGGGGGGAGAGGGCGGGTGTCTGGCTGCTGTGCACAGCTGGGGGAGAGGGCGGGTGTCTGGCTGCTGTGCACAGCTGGGGGAGAGGGCGGGTGTCTGGCTGCTGTGCACAGCTGGGGGAGAGGGCGGGTATCTGGCTGCTGTGCACAGCTGGGGGAGAGGGCGGGTGTCTGGCTGCCGTGCACAGCTGGGGGAGAGGGCGGGTATCTGGCTGCTGTGCACAGCTGGGGGAGAGGGCGGGTGTCTGGCTGCTGTGCACAGCTGGGGGAGAGGGCGGGTGTCTGGCTGCTGTGCACAGCTGGGGGGAGAGGGCGGGTGTCTGGCTGCTGTGCACAGCTGGGGGGAGAGGGCGGGTGTCTGGCTGCCGTGCACAGCTGGGGGAGAAGGCGGGTGTCTGGCTGCTGTGCACAGCTGGGGGGAGAGGGCGGGTGTCTGGCTGCCGTGCACAGCTGCGGGGAGAGTGCAGGTGTCTGGCTGCTGTGCACAGCTGGGGGGAGAGTGCAGGTGTCTGGCTGCTGTGCACAGCTGGGGGGAGAGGGCGGGTGTCTGGCTGCTGTGCACAGCTGGGGGAGAGGGCGGGTGTCTGGCTGCCGTGCACAGCTGGGGGGAGAGGGCGGGTGTCTGGCTGCCGTGCACAGCTGGGGGAGAAGGCGGGTGTCTGGCTGCTGTGCACAGCTGGGGGGAGAGGGCGGGTGTCTGGCTGCTGTGCACAGCTGGGGGAGAGGGCGGGTGTCTGGCTGCTGTGCACAGCTGGGGGAGAGGGCGGGTGTCTGGCTGCTGTGCACAGCTGGGGGAGAGGGCGGGTATCTGGCTGCTGTGCACAGCTGGGGGAGAGGGCGGGTGTCTGGCTGCTGTGCACAGCTGGGGGAGAGGGCGGGTATCTGGCTGCTGTGCACAGCTGGGGGAGAGGGCGGGTGTCTGGCTGCTGTGCACAGCTGGGGGAGAGGGCGGGTGTCTGGCTGCTGTGCACAGCTGGGGGGAGAGGGCGGGTGTCTGGCTGCCGTGCACAGCTGGGGGGAGAGGGCGGGTGTCTGGCTGCCGTGCACAGCTGGGGGAGAAGGCGGGTGTCTGGCTGCTGTGCACAGCTGGGGGGAGAGGGCGGGTGTCTGGCTGCTGTGCACAGCTGGGGGAGAGGGCGGGTGTCTGGCTGCTGTGCACAGCTGGGGGAGAGGGCGGGTGTCTGGCTGCTGTGCACAGCTGGGGGAGAGGGCGGGTATCTGGCTGCTGTGCACAGCTGGGGGAGAGGGCGGGTGTCTGGCTGCTGTGCACAGCTGGGGGAGAGGGCGGGTGTCTGGCTGCCGTGCACAGCTGGGGGAGAAGGCGGGTGTCTGGCTGCTGTGCATAGCTGGGGGGAGAGGGCGGGTGTCTGGCTGCCGTGCACAGCTGCGGGGAGAGTGCAGGTGTCTGGCTGCTGTGCACAGCTGGGGGGAGAGGGCGGGTGTCTGGCTGCCGTGCACAGCTGGGGGAGAGGGCGGGTGTCTGGCTGCTGTGCACAGCTGGGGGGAGAGGGCGGGTGTCTGGCTGCTGTGCACAGCTGGGGGGAGAGGGCGGGTGTCTGGCTGCTGTGCACAGCTGGGGGGAGAGGGCGGGTGTCTGGCTGCCGTGCACAGCTGCGGGGAGAGTGCAGGTGTCTGGCTGCTGTGCACAGCTGGGGGAGAATGCAGGTGTCTGGCTGCTGTGCACAGCTGGGGGAGAGTGCAGGTGTCTGGCTGCTGTGCACAGCTGGGGGAGAGGGCGGGTGTCTGGCTGCTATGCACAGCTGGGGGAGAGGGCAGCCTGAGCATGGGTAGGAGAGCAGGGCCCCACCTGCGCCCCCTGCACCTGGCCTCTGTCCCGCTGCCTCCTGCATCCTTAGCCCCCCTCCTCCCACCCCCCATCCCTCCCACCACCCCACCATCCCCACAGCATCGTATCGGACTTGCAAAAAGACACTGGAGGAAAGGATTCCCGTTTTCCAAGCAGTCTTCATAGGACAAAGCAATGTCAGGACCCGTTTTCATGATCCATAAACCCTGATGAGTTCTAAGCTGCTACTGATTAGCAAGTCTCATAAAAATTAAGATAAATAAGAGCTAAAATCATAATAATTGATTTCAGCACATTTCTCCAGGCTTTTGTGGTCAGTTTGCTCACTGCGGGTCATTGTGCAGGCCTGGAACCTAAAATGCTGACTGTGGTCCCGCTGGCCAAGCCTCCCGGGCCCCGCCTCCGCCAGCCCCCCCAACCCGGGGCCTGGACCCTGCTACTTACAGATGCTCACGTGGCTCTGCAACTCCCCTGACATCCTGTAAAACCAAAGCACACGCATCAGCCAGACCCGCAAAGGCAGAGGGAAGGCGCTTAACAGCCTGGAGACGCGAGCAGCAGAGATACTCGCGTGAAGTGAAAACTGCCTCCAACCCTTAGGGAAAGCTGGGGGCACAGGCCAAGCCGTCAGGGAGTGTGGGGCGACACGGGGTTTTAAGCACTTTTCCGAAGCCTTTTGGCACTGGCTGCCGTGGCTTAGGTTGGGGCACAGGGACATTCTCAGCCTGGGCCACCAAGCTTTGCAGAAAAGGAGAATTGTTTTCTCTAGGAGTAGCCCCACTGCTCTGGCTGCCCCCTGCGCTGGGCCCCCGGAGCACCCCCCACCTGCACTCCTCGCCCTCCAGCAGCTTGCGGTAGGTGGCGATCTCCACGTCCAGCGACAGCTTGGCCCCCAGCAGCGCCTGATAGTCGCGCAGCAGCCGGGCCAGCTCCTCCTTGGCCTGGTGCAGGGCCTCCTCCAGGTCCCCAAGCTTCTGCCGCGCATCCTGAAGGGCCTGCTCTCCTCTCTCCTCCGCGTCCGAGATGGCCACGTGCATCTGCTCGATCTGCGCGGAGACGGGCTTGAGGTCCAGGAGCCCCATCCCCCGGCCGCGGGGCGCTGTGTGGGCGCAGCCGGGGCGCCCTTCTCACCTGCTTCCTCACGCTGCTGATCTCTGCCTGCAGCCTCTGGATGGTGCGGTTGAGCTCCGTGATCTCCAACTTGCTGTTCTTCAGCTCGTCTCCGTGCCTGCCCGCCGACACCTGCAGCTCCTGGTACTGTGGTCGCAGGCAGCGTGGCCGTCAGCCTGCTGCTCACCGCCAGGCTCTCGCGGCGGAGGGGGCCCCCCCAGCTGCTCTCCCCGGGATGGTTCCCAGGGTTGTGCCCTGCCCCCACTGGGGCTGTGATACCTGAATACACCTCACTTCCCTACTGAACCCCCCTCATCTGAGCTGCGACACCACACACACACACACACACACACACACACACACACACACACACACACGGTCCTGGTCAAGCCTCCCTCCTCTCACCAGCCTCTGGGCCAGACCTGCATCCCAGACAGATGCAGCTGCTCCTGGCCACCCTTTGTGACCTGCCTGTTCCGTCACCTAAGCCTTACTCCTGGCCGTACCCACACTGGGACCCCTTCACTTTTGCCACCACACCGCATCCTTTCCACCCTTTTCCAGGATGGTTTCCCTGGCAGCCAGGACCCCGTTTCCCCAGAGGCCCTCAGCATGCCCTGTGATTACTCCCAGTCTCCTCTCTCTGTCCTTTCTGTATCTACACGGGCCCAGCAGTACGAGCCACGGGCAGGGCTCTGGAGGAAGCACGGGGGGGGGGGGGTGCTCAAGGGAAGCTTTGCCTTCTGATGCTTTCACTGTTGACCATCTGCCTCCCCAGTCGGAGGCGGAAATCCACGCACTCAGAACGCCTGCCTGCAGGGCAGCGGGACAGAGGCCAGCCAGGAGTGGAGCTGAGAAAGCACATCTCAAGGCTAGACGTTCCTAATGTCGGGACTGACCTTTGACCCTTAACTACAGTGATGATAGATAGGTGATAGATGATTGATAGATAGATAGATCTTCCAAAGTAAGAGAAAGATGATGGAAGTTCTGGGAGTATGTGGTCTGGGGTACCGAGTCTAGGTGGAGGAGCAGCAGTGCTCACCTTAGTCTGGTACAGTGCCTCGGCCTCGTCCTTGCTCTTCTGTGCGATCAGCTCATACTGGGTCCTCACCGCATCGATGATGCTGTCCAGGTCCAGGAAGCGGTTATTGTCCATAGACAAGATGACATTGGTGTCGCTGATGTGGGTTTGCATCTGGGACAGTTCCTGTAAGGTGTGGACCACAGGGTGACTCCTTCCACTCTTCTCCTGGGGCCTCAGTTTCCCTCTACCATCCTCTCAAGGCTCTCTGAAGAAGCCAGAAGCCTGGGCCAGATGCAAGTCTTGGGGAGGGTCCTTTGAATAGTTGTTGCACCCCAAGAAGTACCTTAACTAAAGGTAAAGGCCCCCAGACCCAGTCTCTGGCGAGAAGAAAGGAGCATGAATTCAGAGCCCCTGTAGGCACCACCTGCCCGTTATGCCTCCCCTGTGCCCTCTCTCCAGGCCTTACTTGGCTTGGCCGCCGTCTTGGGTTGGGCCCTCTGACAGGCAGACTTGCTCCTTGAGAAATACATGAACTCTCAGGGCAAGGATAGGACTCTCCTTGTGCAGCCGCTCACTTACTCTCGAGCCTGAGCTCTACCACTGACTAGCTGAGTGACCGAGCTAGTGACTGAGTTTCTCAGCTCTCTCATCTCCAGAATGGAAACCAAGACGTGGCAAAGCTCCTAGCACAGCATCTGGCCCAGGGTGGACATGAACGACAGTAGGGTAGGGCCAGGGGTGGTAGGAGCATATTGTCCCTCACCACGGCAGGCCTCATCCTTGTTCTCTCTAGGATCCACACTGTCCTGTCCTAGAGGATTCCCCAATAGCCCCAGCCCTTCCCAGCACTGATGAAGAATTCTGGTCAGTTTTATCCCTGTATGTCCCAGGGATTAACCTCATTTCCAGGTAGAATCAAGGGCTGCTCCCTCATCTCCTCCCTCAGGACCCTCTCTACCTCCCACCTCGAGCACCCGCACCCAGGAATCCGAGCACCGGGGGTGGGGAGGCTGTCCCCAGTCCCACAGAGTTGAGATGACTGAGGAGCAGAGTCCCTAGTGGGTCATGCTGGGTTGCAGGCCTCCCCCTCCAGCCGCCCATACCCCTTGTGACCTGTGAGGAAAGAGAAATGTTTCTCGCAAGGACTGAACTGAACTCACCGTCTCAAATAAATATTTCAGGAAATTGATCTCCCCGAACAGAACATTCACTTTGGACTCCAGGTCTACCTTGCTCATGTAAGCAGCATCCACGTCCTGAACAGCAAGCAGAAACAGTCTGATTTACTGCCTAGGCATCGCCTGCCACCAGCTCACTGGGTGACCTGGGCAAGTGGCAAAGCCTCTCTGGGTTTATTTCTTCATCTCACTCAAGTGAGGGACCTGCAAAAACCCTGGCTTTCCTGGCCAGAAGGAAATGTGACACCAAGCCCCTCAACCCAATCAGTGACACACAGCACCCCGCGTCCCTCCTCGGGCCCCCAAGGCTGCGCATAATTCACACTCAAAAGGCATCAGTTGATTGAACTTCATATTCGGGACTGTGGAGAGAGAAGCACGCAAGGAAGCCTCAAGACTCAACGTCGCTTTCAGCCTTAACCCCTCCAGTGCAAGGGCCCAGCATTCAGGCCACACCCTCCACAAGCTGCTGCCAGCGGTCCCCTGTCCACCCCTTGGTCACACAGCATCCCCCAGGAGTTGCTCACTCTGCTCAGCCCCTGTGCCCCACAGCACCCCTGGGACCACCCCCACCCTTCACCTTCTTCAGGACGACAAAGTCATTTTCAGTGTTGGCCCTCCGGTTGATTTCTTCCTCGTACCTGTGGGGGGAGGTAAGAAGCACAGGTGGGCTGCAGAGGCTGACCTTGGCTCCTTGGGATTTCTCCCCACAGCAGGAGGCTTGAATGTCCCTGACTTTGGCTCTCCCCTGCCAGGGCCTGCCACTCCCACAAACCAGCCCGCTGGAGCCAGCTGCTGGCCTCCCAGGTCAATAGAGGTACAACAACCCAACGTGGAAAATGCAGAGCCACATCGGACACTCCCAAAAGGTCCATTTTTCTTTTGATGTTTTACCTTTGTAAATTCGTTGCACTCATTTTTAACAATTGAGAACATAAATAGCCACTTATACTAAATTGTTGGTTTGTTTGTTTTTAATTTAAGAGAGAGAAAGCGAGCAGGAGCAGGGGGAGAGGCAGAGGGAGAAGCAGGCTCCCCATTGGGCAGGGAGCCCGATGCAGGGCTCCATCCCAGGACCCTGGGACCATGACCTGAGCCGAAGGCAGATGCTTAACCAACTAAGCCACCCGGGTGCCCCTACTAAATTGCTTTATTTTTTTTTAAGATTGTATTTATTTATTTATGAGAGACACACAGAGAGAGGTGGAGACACAGGCAGAGGGAGAAGCAGGCTCCCTGTGGGGAGCCCAATGTGGGACTCGATCCCAGGACCCCGGGATCACGCCCTGAGCTGAAGGCTGACGCTCAACCTCTGAGCCAGCCAGGCATCTGCCTAAATTGCTTTAGAGAAGAAAAAGGTCACCTATAATTTTGCCCCCCAACACCTTCTGGTGATTGAAAGAATTTCATCTTTCCCTTTTTTGAGTCACACACTCTTGACTCTCTGGCGCGTCAGAGTGATGGCAAGAGTAGCACCCTGTACCCCTCGCGGTGGAGGGAGAAGCCGCTCAGCTGCCGGCACGGTTCAGGAGCAGCCGATCTGGAATTAGACGAGTCTTGCCATCCCCACCCCTACGATTAACAACAGCTAGTGCTTAGTCTTTGCAGGCACAGGCTGGAAACTTATTAAGCAGGATGTCATCTAAACAAGCGGTTCTCAAAGTGCGGTCCCCCGGCCACCGGCATCAGCATCCCGCAGAAGCCTACCAGAATGCAAACACTCTAGTCCGATTCTAGGCCTGCCCAACTAGCCTGCTGCACCCCAAAGTCTCCAAGCCCGGATCTGCCAGTCAAGCAGCCCAACAGGGAGGGAGGGTGCCTACCAACCCCACTCTACTAAGGTGAAAACTAAAGACTTAGAAGGACGGGCTTGCAAGCGGCTAGAAAGTGGCAAAACCCACTGGAACTTGGCTCCTCTGGCTCCAGCATCGTGAGGACAGTCTGCCCTTCTCCACCTACTATAGCTGAGAGCTGACTGGCCCCACCATCCTAGCAAAGCTGCCACATGCAAGACGGTGCCCCCTGCGGTTGCACTGGGGGACCCTGGGCACCCCTCCCAGTGAACACTGGAGCAGAACATCTTCCCCTCAAGCGTTTCCCTGCCGTGCTTCTCCCCGACCCCTTTGCCCTGCCCGGGGCCTCACTTGCTCTTGTAGTCCTCCACGACGTCCTGCATGTTCTTGACGTCTGTGTTCTGGCGCATTTGCTCGGCATTGAGAAAATCCACCTGCCTCCGCAGCTCACTGATGTAGTTCTCCAAGACGGGCTCCAGGTTATTGGTCCGAGTAGAGGTGTTTACTTGTTGCAGCAGCTCCCACTTTGTTTGCAGCACCTGGTTCTGCTGCTCCAGGAATCGCACCTACGAGCAAGAGACTTCCAAGTTCGCCCCCGGCTGTGGATCCCAGAAGCACCCCCACGTGTAGGAAGATGGGCAACCACACAGCATTTCTGGGCCCGGAGAATAGAGGTGGCCCCTCTGGGGATCAGCGGGCTTCCCTTTCTGTGGGACCAGGACACACAGAACACAACTGATGGTTGACCAAGGGCCCTAAGGTCAACTTGCCTAAAATCACCCCTAATTTACTAAGCTAACTCTGGATTTGAAGGCAAACCACCTCCAGTGAGGTGCCCTCTCTCCTTCATCTACAGCCACGTACACCATGGAGCTGTCTCTCCCACACTCAGCTTATCCGTGCCAACGTGAGGCAATGGCGATGCAGAGCATCTGAAACACTCACACATCCAAGGCTTCTTTCTCTTTGTGGCTGAAATGCTTTATGTGATTGAGGAGAGGAGAAAATAAGAGGGAAGAAGGTATTTGATTTAGAATATTAAACTGATTTCGGAGCAAACCAGCCTGGGTGGCCCCATCCTGCAGGCGCCACCACCTCCACCGCCTGCCAGTGTGTGTTTCAGGAAGGTCCCCCCGCCCCCCCCCCCACTTAAATGCTGACTCGGCATTTTAAAAATAAATGTTCCCACTTTTTATTATTTTTTTAAGATTTTATTTATTCATTTGAGAGACAGAGAGGATGGGGGTGCAAAGGGAGAGGAGATTTTATTTATTTATTAAAGAGAGAGAGCACAGGTAGGCAGAGCAGCAAGCAGAGAGAGCGGGAGAAGCGGACTCCCTGCTGAGCTAGGAGCCCGAAGTGGGGCTCAATCCCAGGACCCTGAGATCATGACCTGAGCCAAAGTCAGATGCTTAACCAACTGAGCCACCCCGGTGCCCCTGTTCCCAGTTCTTAAAAATGTTATATGATGCCTGCCCATGCCCCCAAAGAAAGGACTTCGGGGATGTCCAGTGTTTGGGAAATACTCACAGTGCTATTCCCTTCATCAACATTCAATGACAGAAAATGGAGGGAGGACATCATCCTATAGCCTCACTCTCTCTTCTCCTGAAACTGGGCACAAAGGTCAGGGACAGGGTCCAGAGAGCTTGGCTGGCTGTGCAGACCAAGTGCATGATCATGATCATCCCTTACCTTCCCTCTGCAGGTTGCCCTCGAATGGAGCCTCCCTTCCCATGCCTTAGGTGAAGATAAAGGAGGCCTCTATGCTTTGCTCAGGTGCAGACACACACACACACTCCAGGATCCTCCTGGGACTTGTGTATGGGGACAAACCCAATGCTTTGTGCAGTCCAAACAGAACCCTGAAGACATTCCCCTACAACGTGGCACCAAGGAAGCTGCCCCAAACCCGTGGCCCTAGGACTGCCCTGCCAAGGGGCCAGCCCTTATTAACCTCCTTGGGATTCTGACTCTAGGCTTGGAGATGTGCCCGGTGAACACTATTCCCCATGGCTCATTTTTCGTTCACTTCATCAAAGCAAGAGCTAAGGCCGGCGGCCCTCACAGGTTATCTCAGCTTGGAACACTCCAGTGGGAAACCCCTTCCGCCTGGCTGAGTTTTGCTCTGGCGACACTGCCAGAAGGTGGACACATCAAATGGACACGGGGTCTCAGCTCTGTGCTCACTGCTGTGGGAACTGAAGGAAAAAGATCTCATGGGCCCACGAGGAATCGCCACATTGAACAATGAGGGGCAGGTTAACCAGAGCACCTGTCCCTGTCCCCCCACGCACACGGCACCTCAGAGCACATCGGCAAAAGAAACCTTGGTTCTTGTCAGGCCACCCAAACTGCAAAGGCAGAGACTGGCTGCAGGGAGTGTCAGGGAAATTCAATGGGATTTAATCTCTAGAAAAATCACTGAAAGCTGTTTGTGATTTTTTTTTCCTGGGGCCCCCAAACACTCCTGGGCTGTGTCCCATCAGCACAGATGAAACTTAGCATCATGCTGAGCTCACCTTACTGGGAAAAGCACACCCCTCCTCGGCCCCTCTCTCTCTTGCTCATGACACTTCAGCCCCCTGGACCTCCTGCTCCTCCAGCAGCCCAGATCTTCCCAACTTTTTTGCCTGGCTAAGCCCTATTTCCCTTTTCCATCTCAACTAAAATGGCACCATCTCCCTGGTGTCTTGCCTTCATAGCCCGAGGTCCTTGCCCTGGAGCATCTAGTGTGATTTGTTGTCACTTGGTGCTGTTTGAGCACATCTGTCCGCTCCTGGGGGGAGCCTCAAGAAGGCAGAGCCATGTCAGCTTCATTCTCCTGTGGACACAAGGCGCTCAGACCCATGGACACACAGTGCCCAACAAAGAGAAGGCAGTTCATAAGTATCATGGACTAACGCGAAGGGATTTGGAATTGCCTCCGAGTGTAGACAACTATCTCTCTGAATACAATGGAAACTCCTGGAAAGCAGGGATTTTGTCTGTGTTGTTCATAATTGAATCCCCAACACCTAGAATGGTCCCTGCACGTGATAATTGCTCAGTTAATACATGGTGAACAACAAATTGAGGTATCGGGCTTGGACACTTAGACAATAGAAATGGATGCAAAGGCCTTTGTAGAACCAAAGACAAGGAAAAGGGACCTCAGGAAGGAAAGGGATGGGGTCTATCTCTTCCCATGGGGACATCTTCCTGGCTTTGTCAGCTGAGCTTGAATGCCCTGTGCCGGGGGGTGAGTGGCCTGGATACTCTACACTTGGAGGCATGTAAAATATATAGTGTGTGTCAAACGGCCTTAGGGACAATGGAGAGAAGTAATACAGGGTTGGTGGATATGGATGTTGATGTGGGGGTGCTAGTTCAAAAAGGAAGATCAGAGAAGGCCCCATAAGATAGCAGCATCAGAAAAGATCTGAAGGAGATGAGGGAGCAAGCCAGACCATTCTTGGGAAGGAGGAATTCAAAGCAGAAGGATTGGCAAGAGCAAAGGCCCTGAGGCAGGCATGGGGTGCTGGAGGATGCAAGGATGCAATAGTGTGCTGATAAGCAAGAGAGAAACAGGAGAGGAGGCCCCGGGGGGGAGTGTAGGGTCACTGCAGACAGACTTTGCACCCTGGGGAGCTAAACCCCAGCTCTCAGTCTGTTCACTAAACCTTCCAGCTTGAGAGCTATTCCACCCAGTGGTGGCAATGGTGCCTAGTTCTCACAAATGCAAGCCAGGGGTGAGCAGCAGCTGTGGGGCAGAGGCCAAATCACACAGGGCCTTTTAGAATCTTGGCTTTTATTCCAAATGAGATGAGCAGCCAATGGAAGATTCAAACAGAGAAGTGATGTGATGTTTTTAAAGGATGGCTCTCGTGTGGTTCTGAGAATGGACTATATGGGGTTGAGGGTGAAAGCAGAAAACCAGATCAGAAACTAGAGTCAGAATCCACTGCAGTAGAAGCCTTCTCCCTTCCAGCCAGGCCAGAGTCCTCCTGGATGAGGGTGTTTTCCTCATGGTCATGACAAGCCATCTCCTTGGGGAGGGACAGGTTGCCACAGTCTCCTGCAGCTTGGCCTCTGCCCACAGGCCATGCCATAAGATGCAACAAATGTCTGATATTAATGGTGGGAACCACAATCAAATGAGTCCCGGGAGATTGGCTGTCAATAGCCCTTGGCCATTTCACTGACCTCAAGCCCTCCTGTCTCTCAGCTCCTCCTTAAGCTAAGTCTTGGCCTCCAGTGGAGTCTCTTTCACCTGGCACCCCCTTTCTCCAGTAAAGCCCTCCCAGCCCCTGCCCATGCCTGAGGTATGATGATGTTCAGCCAAATTTCCCATCCAAGGTGATCAGAAGTAGCCAGAAGCAGTTGTTCTATTGAACTCCTGTTTGGCTCTCTTTTGACCTCAACACTCTTACCCCTCCTCCTCCGGCTCACACACTCTGTCCTCTCCCAGCGTCTGCCCAGATATCAGAGACTGGGTATACAGCCCGGTGGTGGGTTCCAGCCCTGGTTGATCTGCTGTCAGACCACAGGTCAAGGTCTAGCCTCAACACTGAATTCCTGTAGGTCTGAAGGATGGTCACTTAGTATCCAAGGGCCTTTATGCCCCAGGGTGCTTCCTACTACATCCCTAGGAGCAAAGAACTTCCTGGGAAGCCTACAGGGGCTACTGTGCCTCCACCTCTAGACAAAAGGAAATGCTGGAGGAAGGTCTTTACCATAGTTCTTTACCATCTAGAAGCCTCTGCTTGCTGATTTGGCTCTGGACTGGCTCTAATCTGAGGTTTAATTAGGGAACTAGGGAGAGTGGCTACAATGTCCCCATCTGATCCATTCTTGGCCTTGAATGAACTAAAACAAGAAACTCTGATAGAATCCTACTGAGTATGCAATTCACTTTAGCCCTCAGTGATACGCTCAGGGCATTCGCCTAGGCTGTGCCATGGCTCCTTGAGGACAGGACTTGTGTTCTAGTCACCCTGTCATACCTGGCACTCTATCTGACATATAGTAGATGCTTATTAAATGTTTGTGGGATGGATGGATGGATGGATGGATGGATGGATGGATGGATGAAAGAGTGGATAGATGGGTGGATGGATGAGTGGGTAGATGGATGGATGGATGAGAGGGTAGATGGGTGGATGGATGAGGGGGTAGATGGGTGGATGGATGAGTGGATGGATGGATGGATGGATGGAAGAGTGGATAGATGGGTGGATGGATGAGTGGGTAGATGGATGGGTGAATGGATGGATGGATGGATGGATGGATGGATGGATGGATGGATGGATGAGTGGGTAGATGGATAGATGGATGAGTGGGTAGATGGGTGGATGGATGAGTGGGTGGATGAATGGATGGATGGATGGATAGATGGATGGATGAGTGGGTAGACAGAAAGTGAATAATGATAAGTGAGAATGAAGTCACTACACCATGTATTTTGTTTTTCTGTGGGGTATTTTCACATTTCTTACCTGGTTTCCTGCCAAAAGGAAAAGATAAAAATAAATCCCCTCAATAAGTCAAACTGAGGCCTAATGAGATGAATGCTTTCTCAAGGCCCCAGAACACATACTTGTGGAGGTGATTGTCAGCCCCAGACTGAGACAGCACCAGGTGGTAAGAGGTGGCAAAGCACAAGGCCCTCTCGGGTATTTGATCGGGGGCCAGAGACCCACCTGCCTTGAGGTACTCACCTTGTCAATGAAGGAGGCAAACTTGTTGTTGAGGACCATGATCTGCTCCCGCTCCTGGGTCTTGACTCTCTGAATTTCAGGGTCCACCTCCAAGTGAAGTGGCTGTAGGAGGCTCTGGTTAATAGTCACCTCTTGGATACCCCCTGGGGGGCAGGAAGGACCAAAGCCCCCAAGCCCAAAACTGCTACCCCCAAAACCACCTCCTCCAAAGCCACCTCCTCCATAGCCACCGCCTCCAAAACCACCGCCCCCAAAACTTCTGCCCCCGCCTCCAAATTTCCCTCCTGCTCCCCCACCCTGGCAGAAACCACTAGCACTTCTCCCCACTAAGCTAATGGAGATGCTTTTACTGCCTCCCAGGTTGTAGAGGCTCCTAGAACCAAACCCCCTGGCGTGGCTCCCATACCCACCACCACCACCACCACCACCACACCTGCCCCGGACCTGACACACAGACCCCACAGCCCGACTCCCACCACCAGAGCCTGCAGAGGAGCCAATGCTGTAAAACCGCCTGCTCCTAGAGCTAAATGCTGACTGAGAGCTAAATTGGCGGCTCATGGTTGCTAGAGCATCCAGAGAAGTAGCCAAAAGAAAAGTCCCAGCTGGAAGGAGGCAGAGACCCAGGAGGGAAAGAGCTAGGACTCCTTTGACAAGAGATCTGGCTCAGTCCCTATATATACATGTGCTGGCTGGGCTGGGCACTTTCCGAATCCTGGGAGGGGAATATTTATGTTTAGTTGGCCTGCCAGCAGCATCTGTTTAAAACCTCACACCTATGAGTTGCAGAAATTGTACTGTAGATAAACTTCCCCAACTTGATCATTTATCATTCATCTCTTGCCGCTTAGAGATCAGAGTGCAGTGATCTCTCAGGACCGAGCTGCTGGAAACTCCTATAGAGTTTCCCCCAAATCATTAGCTGATACCTTCCTAAGAAACTCCACCATTGAGATGTTTGTCTAGGGGTGTGACCAGGAGATCTGGGGCGATGCTAGGGGTTGTCTAACTGCCTTGTGCTCACAGCTGGGACACAGGTGGAGACACCTACTGCCATAGAATTACCCTGGTCGGATGAAAGTTTTGTTCTGGGCTCCCCTCCCCCTGCTTCTTCGCCCTGTTATTATTTATCACCACTATGCGCACCCCAAGTTTTAATCACATGAAAATATGATATTGTGGTCATTGAGTGCAAGTGAAAGCTAGGGGACTCAGCCCAAGACTGTTCACATTTTGCTGGGTGCATCTTGTGCTGCTCTATGTGCCTCGGGCTCCTCCTCTACAAAGCAGATGAGGACCTGTAGCACTGAAGAGCTGTGGTTTCAGATGCATTGGGCATCCACCAGGACCGAACATAGTCTTCTAGACCAAAAGGCAAACTATCGTAAAATCTCTTTTTTTTTTAATTTCCAATGTATTTTAGACCGATGTTTTTATAAAATATTTTTTTTATGATAGTCACAGAGAGAGAGAGAGAGAGGCAGAGACATAGGCAGAGGGAGAAGCAGGCTCCATTCACCGGGAGCCCGATGTGGGATTCGATCCCGGGTCTCCAGGATCGTGCCCTGGGCCAAAGGCAGGCGCCAAACCGCTGCGCCACCCAGGGATCCCAATAAAATTTTTTTTTTAAGATTTTGCTTATTTATTCGTGAGAGAGACACACACAGAGAGAGAGAGAGAGAGAGGCAGAGACACAGGCAGAGGGAGAAGCAGGCTCCATGGAGGGAGCCCGACGTGGGGCTTGATCCTGGGTCTCCAGGATCAGGCCCTGGGCTGAAGGCAGCGCTAAACCGCTGAGCCGCCTGGGATGCCTGTAAAATAAAAGTTTTAAAAATTTCCCTTAAAAGGAGATTTTTAAAAGATATACAATACACAAGCCTCAATTTTTATTTTTTGATTCAATAGATATAAAATTGTTCTCTTGTTAAAAGGGAAAAAATTAATTACATTTCCAAGTGGTTATTCTCAAATTCTGTATTTATCTCTTCTCAAACCTGTAACAAAGTGCCCATGGACCAGCACAGGTGTATGGACCCACATTCTGGAAAGCATCGCCAGCAAGCATGGAATGAAGCTCATTCGATGCACATCAGCATCAGCCAACAAAAATGTATGTTTCCCTCTGGACTCAAACAGATTGTGGCTTTCACCCAAAACTTAATAATAATAATAATAATTATTATTATTATTATTATCTTAAAATGTGGGGGAAATAGCCTTAAATGTCCAGACTTAGAAAAATGGTAAATGCACCATTTGCTTCGACATGGATGGAACTGGAGGGTATGATGCTGAGTGAAATAAGTCAATCGGAGAACGACAAACATTATATGGTCTCATTCATTGGGGGAATATAAAAAATAGTGAAAGGGAATAAAGGGGAAAGGAGAAAAAATAAGTGGGAACTCTCAGAAAGGGAGACAGAAGATAAAAGACTCCTAACTCTGGGAAACGAACTAGGGGTGGTAGAGAGGGAGGTGGGAGGGAGGTGGGCGGGGGTGGGGGTGACTGGGTGACAGGCATTGAGGGGGGCACTTGAGGGGATGAGCACTGGGTGTTATTCTATATGTTGACAAATTGAACACCAATAAACAATAAATTTATTTAAAAAAAAAGAGAGAAATGGTAAATGCTTGCCTGCCCAGATTCAGTTATTTAAAATTATCTTCAAGGAAAAGATAAAGCATTGGTGAAGGCACTTATGATACAACATTAAATGAAGAAAGCTAAATACACGGGTGTCTGGCCTATGAACTCATGAAAATTAAGAATGCACAGAAGGGAGGCTTAAAAAGTAGCAAAAAACTGCATCAACTTATTAAGGATTACAGGAGGGGGTTTTTCCCTAGCATTTTAAATGTCCTTGTCCTTTGTATTTATGCAATAAGTAAATATTTTTGCAAAAGTTGGAGCTGAAACCACAGCTACCAACAACCGCAGAGGTGGGCAAGGCAGGTGGTGGGAAAGAACAAGAGAGGTGTCGGGGAGCCTCAGTGAGGAGAAGGCCCCGTAGGCTGGGAGGGGCTCCGTGGGCAGCTTCGGGGCCTCCACGCCTTACCTGCTCGGCAACTGTTTCAGTGCACCGTCTCCAGGAGGCCTTGTGAGACAGAGAGTGAGCCTGAAATTCAGTCACAGAAACTGGTTTCAGCTTCCAGCCCTGCTTCTACTAGCCTGTGACCTTAGGCAACTCACTAACTCCAGAGCCTCAGGTCCTTAAAGGAATCAGAGCGATTCTTTCTCGAGGAAACTTCTCGATGCTATAAGGCATGTGAAAAAGCACAGAACACTATAATACACTAAACAAGCATAGATGCAGTTACTCTCGGATCCTGGTAAAATGACCACGGGTTCCACTTTGCCTGGACTTTTAGTGCATGAACCAGGTTAGTCCCAGGTAAGTCAGGACAGTTGCCACCCTAGTTCTGGCATCTCAGAATTAGGTCTACACAGCCCTAGTCCTGACCCTAACCCCCCCACACCCCCGTGGGGGCTCTCGGTAGGAGAGGGAAGCCAAGGCTCAGCCCCTGGCCATGGGAGACATAATGAGAAGACCAGGGGAGTCAGAGGAAGGAAAGGAGAGTGGAACTAGGGATTGGGATGGGCCCGTGTAAGAGGGGTACCTGAAGGCAAGGATTCTGGGTCAGGTAGAGGCAGATAGAAGATGTAGAGAGAACAGAGGGTATATGAAGAAGGGATGGTAGGTCCCAGGCAGGAGGGAGCAGGGGTGTGGGAAAAAGATCCTTGGGTTCAGCTTTGAATCCTGGCTCCACCCTTCCCGGCCCCATGACTTGGACAAGTTCTTAACTCCTTGAACCTCACTTCCCTGGTCTGTAAAAAAAAAAAAAAAAAAAAGGATAATAATACCAGATTCACAGGGTGATTATAATAAGCAGCTAAGATCAAACATAGAAGAGCATGTTGGAAATTCCAAAGAGTCGTGCAGGGAGGGTTCCTCATGCAGCCCTCCCTGAGCACCCCAGAGCCTGTGAGCCCACCCCTCTCTCACCCGCAACAGTGCTCTCTTGCACCGCTCACTTTCAACCCCTGTCGTGAAGATTGCACATAATTAACCCTTCCACATGCGTCTCTCCCACCAACTAAATAAATAGGAAGCTCACCAGGGTTTATATTTACCCTTGTGCTGAATATGGGGAATTATTAAATTATGACAAATTGCTATCCCTAAAGGACACCCCTTAACCAGTTGGTTGGATGACAAAGAGCAGTGGTGGCTGAACTTGCTACACGTTGGGGTTCCCCTGCAGAGCTTCAACGACCACTGTTGCCTGTGCCTCCCCCAGGTCCCCTCACCCTAGACCGGGATTTCACCAGTCTGGAGTGTAGCCTGGGCTCTGGAATTTTTTCAAGGTCCCAGAGGGTTTTAATGAGCAGTTTGGGAATCACTGGCCTGGAGGAAGCAGTAGAACCAATGAAATGGCCTCTTGAGAGTCTATTCAGAACCAAAGAATAATACTGACCATCATCCTAATAGTTAACTGCTAATGGAGCGCTTTCAGTGGGCCGCGCTGCTAGGTTGAGACGTGGAGAGTCTCAACCCAAAAATCAGCCTTTTGAGGAAGTCCTTCTGATAATAACCTGCATTTTACAGGTGGGGTAAAGGAGACTTGGAGAGATCGAGTAACTTGCTCAAGAACACGCAGATGAAAATGCTGGCATGGAGATTTGGACGGCAAGCACCCCCACTCCAGAACCCCCGTGTATTGCAGAAGAGGTGGGGTCTCTGGTGGAAGAGGTGCCCCGTCGTCCCCTCCACACTCCGCCCACCTGCCCCCAGTGCTCTCCTTAAAGGAAAGGGGCAAGTCAGTTGAGGGCTTCACCTTGCCCTGTTTGACTCCCAGGTACTGAAACCCAGAGCTGCCAAGAGGGTGAGGCCCAGCGCACTTATCAGCCACCCGATCACAGTCTCGGGCAGCAGCGGGAGGCAGGGTTCAGGAGGATCAGCTGGTGTGACTGGCAGGAGCAGCCCCTGCAGATCTGCTCCCCATCTCAGCCTGCAGCTCCCAGGCCTGGAGGCGGGTATCAGCAACAGCACAGAAGTACAGCAGGGGTGTGGGGACCGAGAAAGGGAGGCACCAGCCCTGCCAGGAAGGAGTGCAGGTACCCAGGCCCTTAATCTCCCTAAAATGGGATTTGGAACCCCCTGGGCAGCACAGGAAGGCAATGACGGGACAGGGAGCGAAGGCAGGCGCGCAGTGTCCTGGGACTGGATGGAAGCCCCTGGCCTTGGCCTCCACGTCCTCAGATCACTCTTCCCCCTACATGGGAATGTCAGACCCGGATGGGCGACAGAGGCCGCCAGCCAGAGCCTTCATTTTACAAGAAGGAAATGGCTACAAAGACAGCAAGGACTTAGTCAAGGTTACAGGGGAAATTGGGGGTGCAGAGAACCAGAGTTTGGGAGCCCTCCCTCCCAATCCAAGAAGAACATGAGCCTTTGAAGAATTCCCACAGCCTCCGTGCTCCTGCAGCCTGGGGGACAGGGACATAGGGGAGCCCCACCTCACCTCCAAAATCTAGCAGGCCCTGCTTGCAGGGGTGAGAGGTTGGGGCTGCACACAGGACCAGCTCCGAATCCTGGCTCCCCCACTTAATCTCTCCATGCCTCAGTTTCCTTATTTGTAAAGAAGAGATAATAGCAC